AAAAAAAAAAAAAAAAAAAACATTGTTCAGTCTGTCGCAAACGTTTGTCAATGCTGCACTGAACACACTGTAAATGGAGCGTCTAATCTATATTAATATCATAAAAAGTAAAGATTTATATTTATGTATGAAACAAATATACTTTAAAACTTTTAGACCGATTTTAAAAATTATTTTGCTTTTATAAAGCATCATTACCACTAAATACCATAGACCATGTTTATATATATTTTTTAAACTCGTGATCAGAAAACATGACTTAAATACAACGACGTCACAGGAGAATAGTTACATCTTCACGTTTACAAACAAAAATATTTAATAGCATAAAATACAAAGTATAGGTTTGTTGTTACCTATACAAACATTAAAAAGCAAATAAAAAAACAGTCGATCCATGCATATATCCGTTCTTTAACCCATAATTCAATAATGTACAATGTGACGAACAACTAATTTAAAAAATATACTAAACAAATTTAGAGAAAAATAGGATTTCGATTTTAAAGTGTTGGTAACACATTCTTTTTGCCACAAAAAATTCCACCAAATTAATATAGATGTCCTGCTTATAATCAGTATATTTAAAATTATGTCTGCAGATGAGATAAAATCAATATCATTTAAATATAAACTATCAGGTCACGGGCTGAGTCACCATAAACACCTGAACTAACATTGTCACAACAATACTCTGTAACAATAACACTTACCAAATCATATCGAGTCCAAGCAGTTTATACCTGGATTTGAATATCGACCTTCATTGAGATGGTTTTATGTTTTTAAAACGAAATAAATAGTAAAGAATTTATAGGGTGTACTTTTTGTTTTTACTAATGTGTTTTGAGGATAAAAATGTAAAGAATAACAATATTACTTCTTACTAATATTATAAATGCGAAAGTTTAGATGGATGGATGTTTGTTAGAGTTTGTAGCCTAAACGGCTGAACGGATCTCGATGAAATTTGGCATAGGCGTAGACTATATATATATACTATAGTAGACTATCGTCTGGGAGAACACATAGGCTACTCATTTTGGTTTTTTAATTCCATGCGGACGGAGTCGCGGGCGAAAGCTAGTATAAAATAACGGAGCGTTAATTCATAACAAATTAATTCCGTTTAAATAGTAAACATTATTGCAATTGTAACAATAAAATTTCGTAATAATCGTAATATTCGAAATAACCTTATAACCTCACGTAACTATGCAAATAGTTTAAACATTTCAACGTTTCTCTAGTTAACAATAGCAACACAAAAGTGTACTCACAAGTTTTCCCACGACGGGCACAATGAGCCTGTCTCTAGAACGGAAGTGGCAAAGGACGGTGAGCGTTGGATTCACAATTGTTACCTTAGCGTACATCGAACCTTCATGGCTAAGTGATATTCAATGCTTGGACATGGGTATAAATCTATCTCACATATTGTTTTAATACAGACGAACAAGCAGAACAATTATTTATAGTCGACTTAACAGTACTTAAAGAGAGGACAGAGTAAAATTAAAATCTACCTTCATTTATATTATCTATGGTTCAGCTTGACAGTCTAAGCTTTTTAATTTTTATTTACAAGACTGTACATTTAAGTACACTTCTGTGAAAATTTATAGTCTCTGGTTTATAGAGAATACTGATTCTAGCATTACCGGCACTAAAGGCGACATTTCTACGACCCCAAAAGGCAGGCAGGCAGGGCAGGAAGGCAAAGCTAGTCACTCT